GCCAGCCTGGTTTCTATTGACAGGGAGGGGGCACGGGGACCCCTGGGCACCAGAGCCGAGGTGCCCGAGATGCCAGGGCTGCTGGCAGGGCTGAGCTCGGAGCCGTGGCAGAGCCCGGCACCCTCAGCACGGACACAGCTCTGAAGGCGCCTTTGTTTCCCCCAGCTGAGCTGTCCCCTCCGTCTCCCTTGTTAAACATCCTCCAAAATACCGGGGGGAGGGAGGGGGCAGTCAAAGAGGCCTGTGATCCCAGGAGGGCACGGAGCAGAGCCCGGGGGAGTGCAGGGAGGCAAGGAATTAATTTCCTATCCTCGTTAGGCTTCCAGCTTGAAGGAAATGAATGGGGGGGCTGCAGGAAGCGAGGGGAGATTGCTCCAGGGGGGACACCCAAAGTCACCTGGCAGGGACAAGAGCGGGTGGGAGTGAGCACAGAGCTGGCCCAGGGGACAGGGACACATCTCCTGTGCTGTGTCAGTGCCCCTGGGGGCTCTGAGCCCGGGCACAGAGGCAGCAGGACAGCACAGGGCTCCCGGGGTGTCCCAGTGACCACAGCTGACCATGGACCCTGTGTCCCCTGCTCTGGACACCTCCAGATGGTGCTGGCAAACTGCTCCCACCCGCTGCTTTCTGCTGGGGCTTCTCCTGCATCCCAAAATCCGCGGGATCACCCCAGTGCCCTGCTTTGAGCAGACACCCCGGGACAGACAGGTGTATGGTTCAACAGAACGGGGGAATTGTTGGGAAGGATGGATAAATAGAATTATTCATAAATAACACAGCCAGGATGAGAACAGTCCTCTCTGCTAGCTGGACAACGCCCCTGACTACGGATGGGTCCAGGGGTCAAGTGGACTGTTCCATCTCACCCCCTAAAATGTACGGTTCACCCCACACCTGTAACCCTCCCCTAAAACATCAAGTGTCTGTGACCCCATTGGCCCAAGCCTTGTTCCAGCCCACCTTGAAGCCCCCTGATAAGGAGGCTCTGAGGGGCCGGACCCTCTCTTGGATCTTCCCCCTCATAGGACCTCCACCCTCTCCTAGAGCATCCTTTTGTCTCCCCTCTCCCCCATCCCCTCAAGCCTGGCCACGTGCTGCATCTGGCAGCTCGAAGCAGGACCTTTCTCCATCCCTAATAAACTTTATATCCCAAGAGCAGCCTGCAGAGATCTCTCATCTCCATTCACCCAAACCGTCCTGGAGCTCAGCGCTCCTTACAGCCAGGGACTCCAGGAACGCCCTCCCCTGCACGCCTGCAGCCTGCCCGAGGATGTCCCTGAGCTCCCTGAGCCTGGAGAGGCCAGGACCCGGGACAGCAGATGGCTTCAGAATGAGCCAGCAGGCCTGGGTGGGCTGAGGGACCCAGGGTGGCTCTGCTGGGACGGGGGGACCCGGGGACAGCAGCAGGACACCGGGGCACTGCTGCCAAACCCCGCCCTGGCAGCAGCAGCGGGCAGGGGGCTGCAAAGGAGCTGCAGCCCCTGCAGCCCTCCTCTCCACCAGGCCAACTCTATTTTTAGACCCCACAAGTGCTGCCCTGCTCGGGGACCCTTTTCCCAGCACAGAGATAAGGGCTGGATGCAGCCTGCAGCTGCAGAGCCTCCCTGCCCACCCGGCAGCAAAAATCAGCTCCTGCTCAGTGACCTGCAGAGAAGAGGAAGAGGAGGAGGAGGAAGAGTCCCTGGCCAAGCCAAAGCAGGAGTTTCCTGCTGTAGAGACCCGGATTTTACAAGGGGAGAGATAAGACAACCCCGTGGAGTTCTCACTCCAAGAAAAGCCCAGCCTGCAGCTTAAGAGAGCCCCGGGGAGGGGAGATGCTGAATCCCAGCTCTGAAATGCAGTGGGAGGTGCACAGGGACCCCATCCTGTGGCCACGGCTCTCCTGCCTCCGGCCACGCTTCCTCCTGCGCCAGGTGATGCCTGGGGCGAGGGGGAAATCGGATGCTGGGAGTAACAGCCATTGTTTGTAGCTAAAATAAAACCCAGGCACAAATAAATCCTTCCTGTTGGCAGGGGCAGGGCTCTGGGCCGGCACAGGGCTCCTCATCACAGCTGCCACCCGCAGCAACCAAACCTTGAGAGCTCCTGGGATGTCCCAGATAGGTGGGGACAGCACCCAGGGACACCCCAGCCCCTGGGGGAGCTGTGCAGGGAGGTGCCTGTGGGACAAACAGACCCGGAGTTGTTGTCTGCAGCACACAAACCGTGCTCACAGGTCACTGGGGGACGTGTCCCCATGTCCTGCCCTGCTAGGACGTGTCCCCATGTCCTGCTGAGACATGTCCCCATGCCCTGCCATGCTGGGATGTGTCCCCATGCCCTGCTGGGACGTGTCCCCATGCCCTGCCATGCTGGGATGTGTCCCCATGTCCTGCTGAGACGTGTCCCCATGCCCTGCCATGCTGGGATGTGTCCCCATGCCCTGCTGGGATGTGTCCCCATGCCCTGCTGCTGGCCCAGCACGGGCATCACCAGAGGGGTGAGATGCTGGCAGCCCCTTCCTGCTGCTCTCCGAGGAAGCCCACGGCCTCCCGGAGCTCCCAGGGCAGTTCCTGTTCCCATTCCCATTCCCGTTCCCGTTCCCAAGGAGGTTTCTCCCCGCCGGGGAGGAGGAAGTGTCTCACTGGGGGAGGCCTGGCGCTCCCAGAATTGTTCTTTGTGCAGGACAGAGGGACAGAGCTGCCCGAGCCCTGCCCGCGGCCACTGCCGTGGCACTGCCCTGCCAAGTGGGCAGCAGAGGGGCAGCTGTGACCCCGGAGGTGGCAGGAGCCAGCCAGGCTCTGCTCCCATCACTGGGTGCTGGGTAAACTGGGATGGGCTGCTGGGGTCAGGGACAGCAGCCTGGAAAACACCACCACCACCTCCTCCTCCTCCTCCTCCTCCTCCTCCTCCTGCTCCTCCTGCTCCTGCTCCTCCTGCTCCAGGCCGGAGGGCTTCCAGGGAAGAGCCAGCCATCAATGATCACACTCCAGCCCTGGCAACATCCCCTAAGAGTGGAAGATTTGCTGAGGGGCCACTCGGTGCACATGAATCATCTCCTGCCTGCAAACAAGGGCCCCTTGAGTGGGGCGGATGGGGGGAGCCTCTGACTCTGCATCCAACAATTCCAGCAGGACACGGAGCACTGGGGCTGGCTCCTGCCACCCTGCCACCCTGCCTGGCCCTCCAGCTGTCCCTCACTGCGATAACTCTGTGATCCTGCTCCCACTTTGGGTGCTGCAGCGTCCCTGGGTGCTGGGGAGCACAAGGCAAGCTCAAATCTCAGCTCTCAG